GAACACCAGTGCAGTGCCTCAACAAATACATTAACTTCATTTCGTCATTTATTGCAAACCCACTCAACGTGACTTCAAACTCCTTTACAAACTGTGGATAGTCAGCTGGGTTTCCGTCGAAACACCGAGGTTCATATTCACGAATTTTAAAGTTTCTATGATCCCTAAACGGTGAAACATGGACATCAGTCTTATCATGCTTAACATCACACACATCATTACACATAACAGGCAACTCAGCATTACTTACCTTCCTGTCTGCTTCCAAAGCGCTTTGTCTTTTCTTCGGCTCAGGCATAACTGAACCTGACCAAACAATCCAGAAAAGTTCCAGATAACACTTGTCCAAAGAACACTTGCAGACACAAGAAAAGACGAACAGAAAGTATCAGAAACTGCCAATGTCCAGGTCTTGCTACGCTGGACCTCACACTGTCCTTGGAAGACTTTCAGAAATTAAGCGTAATAACTAACACGAAATGCCAGAACGCGAATTGGTGACTCAAGAACCGTTTATTTTGCACCAATACAGAGCCAACCATTAAGCTATTGTACACAAAGTCTAAGAATAAATGTAATAACAATAAATCACAATGGTACTTCCGGTAGTTTTCTGTGGTGATTGACAATTTCTACCTCTGTATTGTTTCAATACTTACTGTTGACTGTTGATATGTTTCTTATATGAATGGCAGAATAATTTCGCTAAATACAAATTCCTGAATTCTGCCCTCTCTGTGTTTTGGTTGGATTCGTGTAATTCGGTCATCTCGAAATACTAATATTACGATTACAATAAATTACTACAAATTGGCGTCGCGATGGAACTAAATAACCTGGGAAATTTTCCTATAAATGCTACTCCGCGGGAGATTGCTGATTATTTGGAATGCTTCGATGCGTGGTGCATTTCAAAGAATGTTCGGGATGACAAAATACCAGCACATTTCATCATTGCTATTGGGCTAGATGCGTATAGCCTAGTAAAGACTCTGTCATTTCCAGAAAAACCTATTTCTCTGCCATATTATAAACTCCGTGAACTTCTTATAAATCACTTTCATGTAACTACATTTGAGACCAGAGAGAGGGGTCAATTCCATAAACTGGTTCGTGCCCCCAATCAGAAGATAAGAGACTTCATTCTTCAACTTCAAATTCAAGCTTCAAAGTGTAACTTTGGAGATCAGCTGCATACTCAACTACGTGATCGTCTAATTGCTGGAATCAATATTCCTAAGTTAGAGAAAGAGTTAATTCAGATTTCTTCTTGTACTTTTCAAACTGCTAAAGATGTATGTAGTACATATGAAGATGTCAATAATGAATACTCTGCTCCCACTACGCCAGTGTCTGATGTTATGCTTTCTAAAGTCGAAAATACAAGTGGTCATGGAAAGCAATCCAAATTGTCGTCCACAGGTAATAGAATGCAGCCAGAGATCAAAAACATTAAACCGTGTTTATCCTCTGGAAAGTTACATCTACGAAGCACTTGCCGTCTTCTTGGTGCTAAGTGTCACAAATGTGGTAAACTTGGACACATCGAGACGGTTTGCAGAAGTTCGAATACTTATGTTGCTCAACATTCTTATAATTCTCCCAAGCTGTCTAGTAAAATGGAGTCAATGTGTCTTTCAACTTTTCAAAATACTCAAGCTAATCCGATGAAAACCTCCACTACAAGTTCGGCAACTCAAGTGTCAACTGTTTTCAAAAATGAGGTAGCTGAATTGCAATGTGAACTGTCGAAAACACGAAAAAAACTGAATGAGATGAGAGAGCAACTGATTAAAATGGAGGAATTACTGCATATGCATAGACTGCGTCTGTCGAATGCAGAGCATACAAGTACCCGTGAAAGTCCTGCAAAACTTTTCAAATCTCAAATTCTCAGAAAGCATCTGATGTCCACGACTTCTAATGTACATTATTACAAAGATAATAACTATAGATCTTCTGTTGGAATTATACTACAAAAATGGGAAATCGAGTGGTGAAGATATTAGACATCAAAGATCACTCAGTTCATAACAGACACCTGGACAAAGTGACAACAAATGAAGTAGGTCGTTCCAATTATTATTTTAATGATTCCGCTAATAATCCTGATTTTGTAGATAATTCAGAAATAGGTCCAGATAATACTGATGAAAATAATATCACAGAATCAGTTAGGTCGAAGCTACTTGCAAGCAAACCGAGACATCGATATAAATACGCAAGGAGACATTCGACGTGTGGCGGATGTGGTGATTGACAATTTCTATCTCTGTATTGTTTAAAATACTTACTGTTGACTGTTGATTTGTTTCTTATATGAATTGCAATATAATTCCGCTAAATACAAATTCCTGAATTCCGCCCTCTCTGGGTTTTGTTTGGATTCTTGTAATTCGGTCATCTCGAAATACTAATATTACGATTACAAATAATTAGAACATTTTCTCTCTTCCAACGAACAGCGAACGTTGAGACGATGACTGGTGGACTGATGACTCCCGCGAAAAATATGGAGGAGTTGGGTTTGAGCAAACAACTATGAATTGATCGCTCAATCTTCAACTACACTGACATCTCTATTAGAGCTACTAATTGACTGCACCTGTTGGATTCAGGAAACCAATATCTATCATAGCCTAGTCACACACTTCAATAGACTAAAACCTTTTCGACAACATGTTTCAGTCCAGATAAGTCCTGCAGGAACAGCCACGCTGCACTGTGGGCAGTGCTCCTATGGAAGAAGGGGTAGTGTAATGCATGGTGATTTCCGCGGTTTTCTAATGTTCAAATATGCTTGTCTATTTTCAGGTTGGCAGGGATTGGTTACCCAAGACGAGGCAACGGATGACCGGTAGGAGCGCCCATTCCCTCTCATGTAACTGTATTGTGATTGCCTGTAAATATAATCCTTGACCTTGAGTCTTCGTTCTAACTAGCACGCGACACCTGTGCGATCACACTGCAAAATGTTCGCTTCGCTGCGTTTCAGGTCATTGCTTGAAGGGTGGGATTACAGTCTGCGAACCAGGTTACAGCTGGGTGAGAGTTAAGGTGAGATATAATTTAATAGACCTTGGTTTAAAGCACTTTCTGGAATGCATTTTCAGTATATGTTGGACAGGAGTGATTATTATAACCTACTTCCATTGCATCTTAACACGAATGGCCTTTTCTAGGCCATTAGTGGGCTGTTTCGATTGGAGTCCAACGGTGTACAAACCATCATTGAATAAAAACGCAATCTTTTCTAATTACTGTAGAACTACTATACTTCTAGTACATGAATACTAAAAGTGTCTTAAATGAAGCGTGCTCGAAGAAATGAAATTTGCTTGCACTACCTCGTATAAACGAAATTGGGTATCGGTTCAGTCCGTTCAGTTTCAGATTTCAATATCAACAAAGTAGTTATACCACATTCTATGCCTGCAACTATCCAGTCTTCTTACTCTTACAGTGACCCTAATCTTACCTCATCCTAATCCTTGCGTGGAAATATGCATAAATTAACCCTAATCCAATTTGAACAACCCTTTTGTCACCCTCATTAGGTTAACCTAACCGTAAACTGCCCTTAGCCCAAGCCTTAACTTACTTTAACCGAGGTTAACTTTGCCCAGTCGGTTAATTTTGTGGACCTGGGATATGTGGGTAAATACGTAGGCAGTTTTCCGTTCAAATGTAGGCAAAGTGGGAAAAGGTGGGCTGTTTTCGTTTGTAACATGGGCAAAGTGGGAAAACATGGGCAGCTATTTTCTGGAGACGTGGGAAATGTGGGAAAATATGGGAAAAGTTGAAAGAATGGTAGGTTTTCGTTTTTGTAGTGCAGTCATACTAACATCAGAAATGCATGGGGTGAGGAACATTATTGGAGGATGCATTATCTATGTTAAATCTGACTGCAGAGCTGTGCACTATGATGACCCCAACCTGGATATATGTGATACATTATGGGTGACACTCTACATAAATAAACAGCAAACCCTATTATTAGGTTGCATTTATCGCCCACCCAACCACGACAGTGAACTGCTAAGCCAGATAACTGCAGCCTTCCATTACACTTCGAAATTGAACTTTACTTATAAAGTGATTGGAGGTGATTTCAATATGCCAGAAGTTTCATGGGAGCCCATCAGTGCTCCTCCCCGCTACAGCAAATTCTTAGATGCAGTTGAATTATGTGGGTGGACACAAAGTATTCTAAGGCCCACCCGAAACCAAAATATACTGGACTTGGTTTTCTTGAAAGACATCGCCTTATCTACCATAGACATCAGCCGACCATTCCCTGGTAGTGACCACAACACAGTAATCTGCGCCCTTGATACCAAGCTCCACTCATCAAAACGCTCTACCCTGCGCAAGACATTCATGTGCTTCGGAAAAGCTAGGTGGGACGTATCTAACTCCTTCATTAGAAGCTTAGACTGGGATCTTTTCTTTTCTAATAGCAACCTAGACACTATCCTACTAGCCTTTTACCAGAATGTATCTATTTGCTTTGATAATCTTGTTCCTAAATGTAAAGAAAACCCAAGAGAAAACATAAAGAATTTCATTCCTATAAAAGTAAAGGCTAAGCTGCGAAAGCTGTACCGACAGTACCACAGAGAAAACGACTTCTCATGTCTTCTAAATATACAGAACATTTATCTAGCTTTGAAAGAAAATAACGACAAAGCCCTACTCAGACAAGAACATGCAGCTCTTAAAGATAGCTCTAAATACACTGCAATCTGTAGGCTTTATCGCAAAAGGCTAAACTCCCGTAAAACGGATATACAATTCATTTTAGAAAATGGCGAAACCGCTAGTGACTCTAAAATAATTTGTGAGCTTCTAAACTCCTATTTCTCACAGTCATATACCTATGATGATAATACGTTGCCACAACCTCTATTCCCTGTACGTTCACAAAAAACCTTAGAAATTATCAGCTTTTCTTTAGATAATATTAAGAAAGCAATCACTTCTCTTAAAAGTTCAAACAACCCAGGTCCTGATATGATTCCCTCAACTTTTTTAAAATACGGTGGTGAAGACATTCCTATTCTCCTTCTTAAATTGTTCTCTACCTCTCTATCAACTGGAACATATCCAGATGCATGGAAAACCACGCACATTACCCCTAGGTATAAGTCAGGCTCCCGTTCAAGTGTCATGAGTTACAGACCCATTAACCTAACTTCTGTTATTTCAAGGGTTCTGGAAAAGATCGTGAAAAGTGCCATTTTTGACTTCCTCTCTCAAGAGAAACTTATCACTCCTTATCAACACGGTTTCATGAAGTCACGTTCTTGTACGACATGCCACTTACAATTTTTCGACCACATCTCACAACTTAAAGATTCCAGTATGATCACAGTTATCGTATACTTAGATCTTAGTAAAGCCTTTGACACTGTAAGCCACCGACTGTTAATATCAAAAGTCCAGTCCTATGGGATCCAAGGTTCATTGTTAAGCTGGCTCAGTTCGTTTTTAAGCAACCGGATGCAAATGGTCAGGTTAGGTTCCCACACATCCAACCCCGTTCGGATAACAAGTGGAGTTATACAAGGTAGTGTCCTAGGTCCACTGCTATTCCTGTTATATTTCAATGACATTTGCGACGTTATTAAACATGGCAGACCTTTCCTATTCGCCGATGACATCAAAATAGTGTATCACTCACTCAGAAATGAAGTGTCATGTGTATTTAGTAGGATTCAAGATGATATTGAGAGCGTCCAATTATGGTGTAACACATGGAAAATGAAGTTTAACGTTGAAAAATGTGGTGTGCTATGCTCCAAAAGCATTTCATCTGAACTTTCCATCTCCCTACACAACAAACATATTCCTCGTCTGCCGCTTACAACAGACTTGGGTCTGAAATACACTCCAGAATTTAGCCTGACGGAATACGTTAAACTACAAGTATCAAAGGTCAAAAGGCTCTTTGGATTTTTATTCCGAAACTTTAAGACCAGTGAATCCAAAATTATGCTGTACAAGTTGTGCGTAAGGCCCTTACTTGAATTTTGTCCCCCTATCATGGACAGTGTCTCCGTAAAAGACAGATGCAAATTAGAAAGTCTACAAAGGGCGTTTACTAAACGTCTAGTAGGTGAAAATCTTTGCATTTCTTACTACGACAGATGTAATCTATTCGACTTGGAACCCTTATGGGTTAGACGACTGAAGTTCAACCTAAAAATTACATTTAGGATTGCTAAAGGGCTTATATATTTCCCCCACAATGACTTTACTTTCAGTTCACCTAAGAAATATAACCTGAGAAATAAATCTTCTTCTTTTAAAGTTCCCCGCTGTCATACAAAATACAGATCAAACTCTTTCACTGTGAGATACCGTTGCATTTGGAACCGTCTTCCAACTGAAATTAGAGACAGTCCTACCCCAAAAACTTTCTCATCTTTGCTGAACAAATATTTCATTAACAACGGGTTAGAAGGGGTATGTGACAAACTAAAAATTAGAGATCTAATACGGCACTCCTCTGATCCTCACTGTTAGCTCCTGAAATCTGTAAACCCTATGTTTGACACCACTTTCACTATGATTGCTTTCACAACCCTAGACACCTATTCTTAATCAGCCTTAAATTTTAAAATTTTTTTATTTCCTTCAAATATTTTTGCATATATCCCTGATAATATTGTATTATGAGTATTTCAGTATGCTAAGGTTCAATCTCAAATTCCAGATGCAAATCAACTGAAGACGACTGGTATTAAAATATCTCCGGAGCCTGCCTAGTGCTATACGTCTAGCTCTACGCAAATTAAGGCCAAAATGGTAGTTGTCTAAATATTCAAATAAACGGTGAGTTTTCAATAGTAGTGACTCTTATCCTATTATTCTATAACTATAATCCTGTATGTTCAAATTTTCTAGAACAACATATTATAACTTACCACTACTTATTTGCTCAATGCTGCACGATTATTCCCTGATTTTCTAAACTACATTTGTTTATATCTAAAATGAATCTTATCTTACTATTCTATTACTATAATCCTGTATGTTCAAATTTTCTAGAACAACATATTATAACTTACCACTACTTATCTGCTCAATGCTGCACGATTATTCCCTGATTTTCTAAACTACATTTGTTTATATCTAAAATGAAGACTCAGATAGCCTTTCTTCCTTATATTTTTCGTCTCCAAAATGCTGTAAAAATGAAACATACATGATGTTCTTCTGAAAGTAGTCATTCATACCATAAATTTGAGTAAGTCGACGAATGAATATTTGGAAAACAAAAAGTTTGTGGCATGTTGCAACAGAAATTTTCAAAAATAATAAATAAATAATTTTAAAAAAATGAAGCATTCCGACAGGGCCTTGCACAAAAAAGGTGGGAGGGTGGTGACTGCTAGTCAGCGGATATGATGGTGGGGACATATGTGAACCACCCTTATCTGTGGGACAGCACTCTATTGCTAAGGCTCCTGAGTTCGAATGGCTTCTGCAAAATGAGAATAAATAAAAAAGTTAAAAAAATAATGAAAAAAGAAATAGAAGTTGAAAATTGCCTAGAGCCGAAGTTTAAATGCAAACTCCCGAATGAAGGTAAATGGCATGAGTCCGCTACTTCAGAAGAACACCGAACTGTATACTTCAGAAAAACATATTACTAGGCCCTCGCTTTTCTTTTACATAGCTCACGCACTCTGACTTTTGTGTTTAACACCGCTACCGCGCGAACTTTCAAAAGGGAGTTAATTTTCACGCTCTTGTTTATAATTGGCTTTTGTTGTGTTATACGCTTCAAAAGTCCACAGATTTAACTTTAAATCAGTTTATTCTGATCGAAGTTAGTTTACGTTTCAGATTTGAGTCTATTAATTATAGGAAGTTGTGTTCTTATAACATAATAGCTACATATATCTATCTTTGTGCACTCATTAGCTTTTATCACTGATTTACAAAGGTTATATATATATTTGAAGTTGTATTTAACTTTTCCTGGTTTGTTTTAAATAAAATGCCTATCAAAAGAAACCGCTGCGGAAGGGCTATGTGCCAGTTTCCAGTGGATGAGGGAATGCAGTGTGATAACTGCAAGAGATGGTTTCACAGTATGTGCACGAACCTTACTCCAGCAGCATACAAACGCTGCTGCAAACCTCTAGCGAACTGGTTGTGCAACGACTGCTGTAGTACAACTAAACTCCGTATTACAGAAGCCATAGCTACTCTTAGTGGGGCTTTAAAGCTCATGGACTGCAAGCGTCCTCCACCACAGAAGAATACCGACTATTGCTCAGATAGCGATGACGTGACTAGCGTCATTGACAAAACAGCACATGTCCCAGATGCGACCTTGCCAATAAGTGAGTGCTCTACAGCACAGAAGAACACCCACCATATTACAGACACCCAGGTCGCCCCCACGATACTGGATGAGCCCTCCAGTGACAGTAATGGAAAGACTGCCGTGAAGAAGAGGCGTACCAGGGGTCGAAAACCTGCAGCTCCAGTCGCCCAGGGACTGGCGGAACAAGCCTCATCCACACCGGTGAGCAGCAGACAGACGAACCCCACTAAGATTAGCGAGGAGGACGCCAATGAATGGCGCACCGTAGTCTCTCGCAAAAAGCGAGATAAGGATAACACTTCGGCCACACCGCCCAAGAAGGATAGAAACACACTTACGCCTCAGGGCAAGAAAGTCACGGAAAGCAAACCCGATCTCTCTGACAGGTCTCTCATTCTCCACAAAGTGGAGGAGTCACTGGCCCTCGACCCTAAGACCAGATTCGAGCATGACCTTAACTTGGTCAAGCCCCTTTTAGACAAGCTACTGCCACAAACAGTATCAGGCATTACTATACACAGCGTATACAGAATAGGTCAAAAGCCTGACCCTACAGTAAGTGAACCTGTACGTCTCCTCAAAGTCGTACTAAACTCTAAAGCAGAGAGGGATGCTATTCTAAGCAACTCTCATATTCTCAAAGGATCAGGGATATATGTCCGCGCTGACTTAAGCCTAGCAGACCGTGTCAAAAGACAGGCTGCGGCACTAGAATTAAGTGAGCGACGCCGGAACGGTGAGAAGAACCTTAAGATTAAGGGTTTTCGGGTTGTCCGAGTTCGCAGTTTAATGATCCCGAAACCTCTGTGGGTGGGCCGGGGAAGCACCAATCTGAATTAACAGTCTGCTACACAAACGCCCGCAGCCTGTTAAATAAAAGGACTGAGCTGGCAAACATGATAGAAACCGGAAACCCGGATGTAATTATTATCACAGAGACATGGCTCACACCCGATGTCACTGACAACGAAGTTAACCTGCCAAACTTCGAAGTGCACAGGGTAGACCGACTAAACCGCAAAGGAGGGGGCGTAGTCATCTACCTCAAGAAAGGCTTAACCGTGCGTAGTATCGAAGCACTCGCCCACGAAAGTGAGTCGTGCGAACTTCTACGCTGCAGACTTAAATGCATAGGCCAAGACATTGACCTCATTGCTGTGTACCGCAGTCCTGACTGCAGTGCAGACGACTTCCTAATAGAGAAGCTAGGCTCCTGGACTTCAAAATGTCGAAGTCTCGTAGTCGGTGACTTCAACGCCCCAACAGTTGACTGGTCGAGCCTAACAACTCCATCTTCAGTCAACTCCTTTGATCATAAACTGCTAGAATCTAGTATATCGCTAGCCCTAGTCCAACATATCATTAAGCCCACGCGCTATGACTCACAGCACTCCTCATCAACTCTGGACCTAGTGTTCTCACACGGTGAGGATGTGGATCTCATACAACATCTTCCTCCGTTAGGAAGAAGTGACCATGCTGTGCTCACTTTCAAGTTCACAGCAACGGCAGCAAGGGCCAAAACCCCAGCTCGACCAAACGTTTGGAAAGCTGACATAAATGCGATCGTCTCAGCAGCCAACTCAGTAAACTGGTACATCAATCCAGAGTCCCAAGTAGAAGCCGCATGGAACCAATTTAAGCAACTTTACGCCCAAGTAACTGTACCCTTCATCCCTTGGTCTGTTCCAAAGGGTCGGAAACATTCCCCCCTTGGATAAACCGGGAGATTCGTAAGTTACTCAGACGTAAACGCAAATGTTGGAACCTGTTTGCAACACTTGAGACTTCTGAGACCAGGGAATTATATACTACTGCTAGAAATAAAGCTATCGCAGAAATCCGCCAATCAAGGATGAAGTTCGAGACACACCTGGCCCAAAATGCAAAGGCACAACCTAAGAAAATTTTCTCGTACTTGAATTTCAGGAATAAAACACCCAATGGTGTCCCAAACCTGATTATTGACAAAGATACAATCGAAGAAGATCAAGAAAAAGCAGAAGCAATGGCAAACTACTTCTCCCAAGTCTTCACTCAGGAGTCATCACTGCCTATAGGATCAGCTCTGGCTGCATCAGAAGAACATGGGATAGATTCCGTTGACATCGACCAAGGCATCGTGCTCAACTTCTTAATGAAACTAGATGCAGGAAAATCAATGGGTCCTGACAGTCTTCATCCAAGGCTTCTCAAGGAGCTATCAGCCCACATAGCCGGCCCCTTGACCACGATCTTCAAGCTATCTCTCCTAAATGGAGTGTTGCCACGTGATTGGAAAGACGCCATAGTAACCCCCATACACAAAGGAGGATCAAGACAAAGCCCTTCAAATTACAGGCCTATCAGTCTCACCAGCACTTTAATCAAGACACTGGAAAGAATTATCAAGAAAAGCATCATGGCTTATCTGGAAAATAGCAGCTTGTTATCTGGAGCACAGCATGGCTTCCGGAGGAACCTCTCATGCCTGTCAAATCTCCTGACTGCAAGAGAAAGCTGGGTCAAATCAAAGGACAACAGAAGACCCGTTGACGTCGTCTTCATAGACTTCAGTAAAGCCTTTGATAAAGTACCTCACAAAAGACTACTCATGAAATTGGAAAGTCTTGGTATCAAAGGCAGACTACTAGACTGGCTCAGGGAATTCCTCATAGATAGGAGGCAGAGGGTTAGGATCAACTCAAAACTCTCCTCCTGGACAGCAGTAAGTAGCGGAGTGCCACAAGGCACGGTTCTCGGTCCTCTCCTTTTTATTCTGTATATCAATGAGTTACCTCTGCTCACCGACTCCCCTATGGTCCTATACGCAGATGACTTAAAAATTTGGAGAGAGCTGAAGGGCAACAGTGATACGCTCACCTTGCAAGACGACCTCAACAAATTGTCGGAGTGGTCTGTTGAATGGATGCTCCCGATCAATGTGGCAAAATGTGCAACCATGCGCATTGGACAAGCAAGCACGAGCTCCTACGAACTAGAGGGAATAACACTTCCATCAGTTCAGACTCACTTGGACTTAGGTGTCATAGTTAGCCACGACTTAAAAACTACAGCACACTGTCGCGCGGTGGCTGCACGTAGTTTCAGGTCCTTATGGGCGATTCGCAGAGCCTTTACAAGAATTACCAGAGATATGTTCACCTCCTTATACACATCTCTGGTTAGGTCAAGACTGGAAAACTGCATCCAGGCCGCCAGTCCGTGTCTAAAAGGGGATTCACACATTCTAGAAAGTGTTCAAAGGAAGGCAACACGTATGGTTCACGGCATAGCTAACTTATCATACGAGGAAAGACTAGATAGTTTAAATCTCTTCTCACTGTCATACCGTAGGCAGAGAGGAGATTTAATCACAATGTTTAAAATTTTAAATAATGACTACGGACCTGACCTATTCTCTCTTTTCCTTCCCACCAGGTCGGAACACCTTAGAGGACATAGCAGGAGAGTTCAAAAGCCAAGGAGAAATCATATTGCTGTTGAGTACTGGTTCTCACATCGAGTCATAAACTCTTGGAACCGACTCCCAGAAGAAGTGGTGTCTGCAACCTCAACTTATTCGTTCAAGAAGGGTTTGGACAACCACAGAAATCTACTAGAAAAGGATTAACATAGGCTGCAAGCCTTCTATCC